TTCTGAAAAAAAAAAACTAATGGCTCCAGTGGGTCTTGCCTGATAAAATAATATAAAAGTTTAAAGTAACAAGAAAAAAAAACGTTTTAATTGTATATATATATTTTAAGTGATCTGTTTACCTTTGCTCTCCAATCGTGTTTTTGTGTTGTTTGTTGTTGTAACGTTCTGACCTGTCACTGCTGGATATCTGTGAAAAATAACTTCATAGCTCATCGGATTCCTCAAATATAAATAAATATACACGGGCCGGTACTTCACTTCGCGCGCCTTCAATCCCACGCGACCTTCGTCTGCCCCAGTGGCGATGTTTACCACACACCGCACCAGGTACTCATTTGAGGCTGAGTCGACCTAGGGGAGGGCCCAGGACTTGTTCAGATAATCGCCACTGGTGTTGGCCGTGAGCGGCATAAATACTGTTTACATATATATTTTGTGTACATAGACACTGTATATAGACTAACATTTGTTACGTGTTCAATTTTTACATTTTTTTTCTATAGATTATACTAGTTCATAAAGCCTGTGTTCGCCAGGCAAAAGTTTTAAATAAATATAATAATGAACCTGATATGATTAAAAAAAAAATCTACAATCACACACTAACTGATTCAACTTGTTATATTTAAATGTATCCACTTAATGCTCTGTAAAGGGAAATCTCATATTTTTTAGCGTTTTCAAATTATTCAGATTTGAACGTCGTAAAATGCGGGGTTCTTTCGTTTAAAACCGCTTGAATCCGAATGTACCAAAAACAATAAAAGATAGAACCAATGGTTCTCGTTTTAAATATATTTTCAGTTTAACGCTCTATCAAACGAAAAAACCCGCAATGATGTATTTTGAAAGGTTTCCGAATGACACGCACAAACGTGTCTATGAGGCACTAAAATAAAAACAAAATCTCGGATTTTCTGGTTTTCGTGTTATTTGTGTCCTAAAAGCTACCTATGTACCACATGTCAGTTGTATAACTTGTCGGGAAGTGACTTTACCGAATAAAACCAAAGAGTATAAGTATCCTACAGTTTTTTTGAGGCATACAGATTCATGTATTTAATTCAATAGATTCCTAATTCTGAGCCTACCCGCGGCTCGATAAATATTTCAGTGATAAATGAATCCCTGAGTATTTACACGCGCGAGTAGCGGCGCGTTCATCGCAAACAACAATTTGACAGCCCCGAAGGGTGAGACATTTCCCAATGAGGTTGTTAAAATTAAAATAAACTGTCGTGAGCCCAGGGAAAGGGCGGTGTCCGCTAAGTTTCCAGTCGCACCTGGCGGTACAAATTGGCAATATCTGTCGGTGTCTCTCAGCCTCCGGAAAGTTGGTATGAAATCAGGTAAAGCAACAGGATTCACACCTTAACATAGATCACGCGAGTCATTATTATTATCGTTATATGCCGCGCGTTGCGAGCGCCGGTGTAGCGATGGGAGGCGGTTGTGTAGCGGTTAGCGGCGCTGCACTACGAACCTGGCCACCAGAGTTCCATTCCCGCTCACGATCTGAACCGGTCCTGGGCTTCCCCTAGGTGGACTCAGCCTCAGGTGAGTACCTGGTGTGTAAACATCGCCACTTTGGAGACAAAGGCGGCCGGGCGTGGTGCTGGCCACTCATCCCGTCGTGTGCCGCTAACAGCACTTGCCCCTAGAGTCTTAATGCTGTACGGGGTGTCTTTGTCTTTGTTGTATGTATGATCTAGCGAGTGAGTGTGTGTGGGACCGAGTGCGTTAATATGTGAGAGAGTGAGTATGTGGGTGAGTAAGCAAGTGAATGGATGGGTGAGCAAGTGAATCAATGGATGAGAGGTTCGGGATTAAGTCAACGGCTAATTGTGTGAGTGAGTGAAGTACATTAATGGTGAGGCGGCTGAGTATGTGAGCAAATGGATGCGTGATTTAGTGAGCGAATGTGTGGGCGAGTGAGCGAGTGGACAGACGAATGATTTAGTGAGTGTGTGGATGAATGAACGGAATAATGATTTAGTGAGCGAGTGTTTGGATGAGTGAACGGAAGAATGATTTAGTGAGCGAGTGTGTGGACGAGTGAACGGAATAATGATTTAGTGAGCAAGTGTGTGGGTGAGTGAGCGAGCAGAGGGGTGATGAATGAGTGGGCGAGTGAGCGGATGATCGAGAGACCCACGTGTGCTTAGTCATCACAAATAAATGCGAAGACAGATCCCTTGAGGGCCAATGAAGGTTCGGGGAATCTCGCGGTGAGCTGTACGACTGTAAGGGAGCCGAGGGAAAGTGGCGTCAGCAAAGTTTCCAATCGTAGCTCGCGGCACAAATTCGCAATGTTTCGCCAGAATATGCACAGGCTCACCAAAGTCAGTTGTTGGAAATACACCCGTACATAGATAACATGCAAATGACATACATGTGACAGATTTTGATGAGCTGATACCCCATGGATGCCCAATATAAAAAAAAATAGCAACACCATTTTACATTGTTTTTCCTGACAAGGCCCACCAGCAGCACTCATAACCAGTGCCACCATCACCACAACCATCATCACCACCATCAAAGTCACCAACATCACCACTCTCAATATTATCATCAACACTTGAACCATCGCCACCATCAAACACCACTATCAATATCAACGCTCTCAATATTATCATCAACACTTGAACCATCGCCACCATCAAACACCACTATCAATATCAACGCTCTCAATATTATCATCAACACTTGAACCATCGCCACCATCAAACACCACTATCAATATCAACGCTCTCAATATTATCATCAACACTTGAACCATCACCACCATCAAACACCACTATCAATATCAACGCTCTCAATATTATCATCAACACTTGAACCATCACCACCATCAAACACCACCATCAACACCACCATCAGCACCCCATCGGTGCGTGGAGGTCAGTGGAGGCTGGAGGCCGCGTCTCCGACTCGCTCTATCCCCTTGCTCTACCCCCTTGCTCGCACGATTGCTCACTCACTCCGGTGCCGAGTTGTTCGCACGATCACTCGCTCGCACATTCAGAACCATAATTTTTATTTGTACTGGAGGAATACGATGAGCTATGAAGCTTCTTTTTTTCCACAGATGTCCACATTCATCCACTCGGTTTCTCACTCATCCACACTAAGGCAAAGATCCCCCATATAGCCGTTAACAGACTGTTGGGGCAAGTGCTGTTAGCGAGAACGGCACACGAGGGGTGGGTGGCCAGCACCACGCCCAGCTACCTTTTTCGTCCATGTAGCGATGTTTACACTCCGTACCAGGTACTCATTTTAGGCTGAGTCGACCTAGGGGAGGACCCAGGACTTGCTCAGATAATCGCCACTGGCGTTGGCCATGAGCGGGAATCGAACTCGGATTTCCGCGTTCGTAGCGCAGCGTAGCGCTAACCGCTGTCCCACCGCTCCCCACAAACATCACAAAGACCACGACCCCCCCCCCCGTAGATCCTTCACAGACTGTTGGGGCAAGTGATGTTCGCGACCAACCCCCTACCTCCTCCCCATCCCCACTCACCGCCTTCAATCGGCACCGCCACGCGACTCTTTAAGACAGAGTCCGTCGCGACAAACAAAAAACACGGCACTGAAATAAACAAAAATAAACATCGCGCGGACCCCCCTGGGGGGTGGGGGGGGGGCTGGGGAGGGGGGAGGGCAGGGAAGGGGACGGGGGGGGGGAGGATTGGAGGGGTTGGGGGTCGAGGTGGGTGGAGAGAGGCGTCGAACGCTCGAGTCCCCGTGTCGCATTTGTCGCCGGATTTGTGGCAACAGTCGCCCCCCGCCCAGCCCTCCCCGCCCGCCTCAGCCGAGAAGAACGTCACGCGGTCGAGGTCCCGGTGAGCGGGCGGGCGGCGGCGATCTTGTCGTGTCCCACCGTTGGCCGAGTGCGTCGACTGCCGCCAAGAAGATTTTCGAGAAAGGGGTGAGCGGGAGGATGAACTTGTTGTTGGTGATGACGGTGTGAAAAGAGATAACGGAGAGAGAGAGATAGATACAGACGCAGGCACGTAGAGAAGTAGATACGAAGACGGAGGCACCGCTGTGAATAATTAGACACAAAGACACACACACAAAGACACACACACACACACAGACACACACACACACAGACACGCAGATATTCCAATGCAAAGACGCGCGCGTGTCGATGTAGACACGCGCGCTGACACGGCCAAACGAAGAGGGCGAATCGCATCTCGCTTGGCACGTGCTGTTGGCTAGCACCTATTAAGGACGTAACGGCACACGAGCTGGGTGCAGCTTAGAGGACACACACGCACAGATAGATACACACACACGCACACTTGCAATTGTGTTCGTTCAACTTCAAGTAATTATAATATAGTTAGCAACAACACTGAACTCACTTCGACTCGCTTGGGGTTATTCACGGAGACGTAGAGACACGTGGACACACACACACACACGGGACATACAGACACGGGGATACGGAGACACGGGGACAGAGATACACGGGGACATACAGAGACACTGGGACAGAGAGACACAGAGACACGGGGACAGAGAGACACGGGGACACACAGACACACGGGGACACACAGAGACACGGGAACAGAGAGACACAGAGACACGGGGACAGAGAGACACGGGGACACACAGAGAGACACGGTGACAGAGAGACACGGGGACAGAGAGACACGGGGACACACAGAGACACGGGGACAGAGAGACACAGGGACAGAGAGACACGGGGACAGAGAGACACGGGGACATACAGAGACACTGGGACAGAGAGACACAGAGACACGGGGGACAGAGAGACACGGGGACAGAGAGACACGGGGACACACAGAGACACGGGGACACACAGAGACACGGGGACACACAGAGAGACACGGGGACACACAGAGACACGGGGACAGAGAGACACGGGGACACACAGAGACACGGGGACAGAGAGACACGGGGACACACAGAGACACGGGGACAGAGAGACACGGGGACACACAGAGAGACACGGGGACATGGGGACAGAGCGCGGACTCAATCCTGGAGGCTCCAGCAGCAGCAGCAGCAGTCCTGTCCTTGTGATGGTTTCACCGACCCCGACCTCGATAGCCCTTCAGCAGCAGCAGCAGCATCACCAGCAGCAACATCATCAGCAGCAACATCATCAGCAGCAACATCATCAGCAGCAACAGCGGAAACAATATTACCAGCAGCAGCAACATCGTCATCAGCAGGAGCAAAAACAACGCCAGGAGCATCATCAGCATGAAGCCCATCAACATCATCAACAGCAGCAAAAGCATCATAAATCCCAGCAGCCTCAACAGCAACATCATCAACAGCAGCGGCAGCCTCAACAGCAGCAAAAGCATCATCAGCCTCAGCAGCAGCAGCATCAGCCGCAGCCACCTCCGTTACGCGCCGCACCGGCGTTAGGAACAGGGTTGGCACCGGGCTTGGATTCGCAATTGGGACCGGCACTCGACACCGATTTGCCTCCAGGGCCCGCGGAGGGCTCCGGGCTCGCCCCGTCTCGCCTCCTGCACAGCCCCTCCACGCCCGGCCTGGCGTTCTTGCGCGCCGTGGCTGGTACGGAACGCTTTCCGCGCACGCCCAAGTGCGCGCGGTGTCGCAACCACGGCGCCGCGTCCCCGCTCAAGGGCCACAAGCGATACTGCCGCTGGCGCGACTGCTCGTGCCCCAAGTGCGCCCTCATCGCCGAGAGGCAGCGGGTGATGGCCGCGCAGGTGGCGCTACGGCGACAGCAGGCGGCCGAAGAGAGCGAAGCTCGGGGTCTCCACCGCCTTCTCTACGGTGCGGTCGGTGGTGGTGGTGGTGGTGTCAATGCCGTTCACTCTGGTATTGGGCAGCAGCTGCAGCAGCAGCAGCAAGGGGCGATGGCGTTTCATTCATTGCATGGATTTGCGACGGCCGCAACGGCTGGGGCGATGGGATTCGGGGTGCTGGGGAAAGAGGCGGCCGCGTCAATGAGCCGGCGAGAAGCGGTGGTGGTGGTGGAGGAGGTGGAGGATGAGGGCGGCGAGGAGATGGTGGAGGAAGAGGCGGAGGATGATGAGGAGGTGGTGGACGACGTGGGTGTTGAGGATGAAGAGCCACGCAAGGAGCGTGGCTGCGCTGGGCGTGCGGGGCACGGCCCGCAACTCGGCAACGACGGGACCCAGGTGATTGTTGCTCAAGCGGCGAGTCCAGGTAAGAGAAACCTCGTGTGTTATAATAATAATAATAATGATGATTGTTACGACTTTAAAAAAATAATTAGGAATCGTAAATGTGTCATTTTGACTGAAAGCTTTCGTGACTGCAGGAATTCATGTTCTTTGGGTCTTTCGGTGAAGTCCTGATGACGAACAATTGTGTTGCGATCGAAACGTCGAAGTTTTTGTTGTTTTGTAATTTTGTTTTTGTTTTCCACGAACCTATCGATGTGACTTTACCGAAAAACCCAAAGAACATGAATGTGTAAGTATTAATGACTATCACCATCAAACATTAGTGTTCTTCATAATCAAACATTAGCCGTCAGCAGCATCAAACATCAGTCATCATCATAACAAATTAGTATTCATCATCATCAAACAGTATGTATCATCATCATCAATAATTAATATTCATCAAACATCAGTATTCATTTTCTTAGTAAAGGTAAAGGCGCAGCTTTGCAATTGCTCTCGACTGTCTTTGGCCTACTCTTCCACGCTAGCCTTAACGTCTTGAATAGGTGGACAGTACCCACACTTTACCCCACCACACGAGACTTGCCGATGGCTCGTGGTGCCCACCCACCCCCCCCCCCCCCCAAAAAAAACTGCTGGCTTCATAAACTATTCTAGATTTGAAGCTTTCGTGACTGCAGGATTTATTTTATTTTATACCTACGTGATTTTACCCAAAGAACACGTAGGGAGGACAGCGCTGTCCTCCAGACAGTCTCGTCCCCTTCACCTGATGAAGGCCGCTAGTGTTGTGGCCGAAACGTCGTGATTTTTTGTTATTTTATTTTCACCTACGTGACTTTACCCAATAGAACCAAACAGTATGGATCCTAGCAGTCACGAAAGCTTTAAATCTAGAATTCACCCAAACAACCAAAGAGTATTCATAAACTATTGTTTTTGGGGTGGGTTCGCAGCCGCGTGAGTAAGCTGTGTGTCGTACACCCCTGCTCAGCCCAAGACATCGAAATAACGAAAACGCCTCTCACGTGATGAACAAACGTGGCCAGTTTGTCACGGCTCACAGCAGCACCGGTGTTGGAGGAGCGATCTCATGATATTTAACGATTGACTCGTACGACGTTTCGAGGATAGTGACAACTAGCATCATCAAGAGAGCAAAACACAAAAATGAAAGAGGCTCATTTGCCCACGTGACATCTTGATTAGAGTGGCTCTGTCGGGTGGTGGAGGGATATCGTTGATGCACTGCACTCCATTATGAGCACGGTCCGCTCCTCCGGTTAACACGGCCGGCTACGTACGATGGCGAAAGACGTTTAGCATACACAGAGTCAGTGGTGTAGTCACTACATTATCAGTGGCGTAGTAACTACATTTTCAGTGGTGTAGTTACTACATTATCAGTGGTGTAGTAACTACATTATCACTGGTGTAGTAACTACATTATCAGTGGTGTAGTAACTACATTATCAGTGGTGTAGTCACTACATTATCAGTGGTGTAGTGACTACATTATCAGTGGTGTAGTCACTACATTATCAGTGGCGTAGTCACTACATTATCAGTGGTGTAGTGACTACATTATCAGTGGTGTAGTTACTACATTATCAGTGTTGTAGTGACTACATTATCAGTGGTGTAGTAACTACATTATCAGTGGTGTAGTGACTACATTATCAGTGGCGTAGTAACTACATTATCAGTGGTGTAGTCACTACATTATCAACTCAGGGGGTGAGGCAATCTGTCAGATGGGGCCTCAATATTTGATTAGAAATCGCGGCTCCTCTTACCGAATTAACATCATCGTTACGTAATAATAAATAAACATGATGATGATGATCATCGTTACGCTCACGGTCTCGAACATTTAACGATGTATGGGCGCTCCGTCTTTGCAAAATGCAGCCACTAACAGCCCCGTAGGAGCTCTTTGCGATATAATTGACGTGTATCTGGTGAAATAAATAACCCCAGAAACGGAGTTCTACGTGAAAGCTATTTTCATTACAAAATAAAAAATATATATTTAAAACCGCCGTTTAAAACAACGGTTGTTGTTGTTGTTCTTTAAAACTGTTGTTCAAAAACAGATATCGTGATGGTTGTCAAGGAGGGAGTCCAGCTCATCCAGGGGGGGGCAAGGCACCCCCTGACCCCACGCTCCTTACGCTGCTGGTTATAACTAAACAAAAATTGTCATCATCATCATCATATAACCCTACGTATAGAACCATAAACAATCATTATCATAAGTACTGTAATTATAATCCATGATCAGCAACAATCTATTATCTATACTCGAATATCTATAATGTGTTATAATTTATTATCTACTATATAGTACAATCTTGTATCTATATAATCTATTTTATAATATAATATATTCTCTATATAATGTATTATCTATCATTATAATATATTATACTATATTATCTATAATCAACGAGCTTGTTTGTCCGTCATAGGATTGAAGCTGTAATATTTTTTTTTTAAATTGAGCAGCGAATAATTGTATCTTGTGTAAATTTAATGGCAGTGAATCTTGGACGGAACTAAGTCATCAAACACTTCACTACATCTTCTTGGTTCTTTGGGTAAAGTCACGTAAAAGGGAAACAATAAAATAATACAAATATAAAACAATACAATTCTCACGACGTTTCGACTGCAACACAAGCAATCATCATCAGGTGTGAACACCACAGCAAGAAAATTTGAACAAAGTGGCGAAACCGCCACTTTTTTCAAATTTGTGTTACAGTCGAAACGTCATGAGAATTTTATTGTTTTATATTTTTATTATTTTATTGTTTCCCTTCTACGTGATTTTACCGAAAGAACCAAGAATATGAATCCCTGCAGTCACGAAAGCTTTAAATCGAAACTTCACTCCATGTCACTGTAGAAAACTGACCTTCAACTTGTTCAAATTCCCTGCTCTGCTTTCGGACGCTGGGGTTGAAATAAATTGGAATTCGATACAAATATCTGGAAAATCACCGATAAATGTCTATTTTACCATTATGTAAGAAGCATAAATTAGACTTATCTTTTGTCTCAAGTGCTGAAGAAATAAATAAAGACACCAAATCCACTTTGTTGCTGCGTATAATTATTTATTAGATAAACTTTCAATAAAGAAAACGTCAAACTTAAAGCGAATTTGCGAATACATTTTTTTATTTCCGCTCGACCTTCTTCTGCGTTAGTGTAAAAAATCCATCCGCTCATGAATATTAATTAGGGGGGTGCGGCATGTGGAGTGACGTCACGCGCGTTACACACAAAACAGACATTCTTGGCTCATTTTATACATATTCTTGGTTCTTTCGGTAAAGTCACCACGTAGAAGGGAAACAATAAAATAATAAAAATATAAAACAATAAAATTCTCACGACGTTTAGACTGCAACACAAGCAATCATCATCAGGTGTGAAACCCACAGCAAGAAAATGTTCTTGCTAGATTATATAGATACAAGATTATACTATATAGTAGATAATAAATTATAACATATTATAGATATTCGAGTATACATAATACATTGTTGTTGATCATGGATTAAAATTACAGTACTTATGATAATGATTGTTTATGGTTCTATACGTAGGCTTATATGATGATGATTGTTTTATATTTTTATTATTTTATTGTTTCCCTTATACGTGACTTTACCGAAAGAACCAAGAATATGAATCCCTGCAGTCACGAAAGCTTTAAATTAAAATTCATTTTATAGTAGTGATTATCTATAAACTATTATGAACATCAATCGTTGGTCGCTATCATGAACATCGTCATCATTATCAATGATCCTTCATTGCCACGATTAGCTGATGACGGTTGCTTGTGTTGCGACCGAAACGTCGTGATTTATTTTATTTTATACCTACGGTGACTTTACCAAAAGAACGAAAGCGTACTTACCGTAAGTTTTATATACACGTACACACACGTGTAAGCAATTGTAAGGACATTGTGATGCATCATCATCTTCGATAAAAAATATAATTACAATTCACTATTTTAAATGTATAGCCCATTATGAATCCACTGCTAAATGAAGACCTCCTCACTCCGTGTTGGTCATCATAGGGGTTGTTTGACCATACTTCACCACGCTGGTCACTGACCGAGAATGGAGCTCAAGTCGACGCGTCATGGAGTGCAGTGCATCAACCACTGCACCTCCGCTCCTTCCCATCATCGTCATAATTGATCATTCACGATCATCATGATTTACCATAAGTTGTCATCCTAAATCATTGTCAAGAATTAGAATGCATCATCAGCCGTAACAAAAATTAGCACATGAGCATTTACCACAATATCATTATCATAACTAACACGAGCGTGTTGCGCCCGAAACGTCGTGATTTATTTTATTATCTACCTACTTGGTGACTTTACTGAAAGAACCAAAGAGAATGGATTCCTGCAGTCACGAAAGCTTCAAATCAATAATAATAATGATGAACACATTTTTTTTTTCAGAATCCTAGCTGCCGTCTCGTCCATCAGCGTGTTCTGTCGCCGCAAACGGTGGCGTGCATCCGATATTTCTCCCTGCACGGCATCCACGCCGCAGCCTGCGCGGCCCAATTTGATCGAAATCTGCTGCCCTCCCCCCCCCTCTCTCTCTCTCTCCCCCTTTCCTGCGCGTCCCGTTCAGAGTCCCTCCAAGGCAACGCACGGACCGCGCCGGCTACCCGCGCCACCCTCCCGCGCAACGCCCGCCCGAGTTTGACTCCTCCGACCCCGCCGCCACCTGGCGCCTGCCGCCCACGGTCCCCGCGGGAAATGCTGCGCCGCGTCTTCCCCGAGGAAGATCCCGGATTCCTCGGGGCGGCGCTGGCCGCGTGCGGCTGGGACGTGGTGCGCGCCATCGAGACCCTGGTGGCACGGGAAGGGAGACGCGGGGCGTCGCGTCGAGAGGGAGCCGCGGCGTCGGCGTCGTCGGCAGCGGTGTCATCGTCGTCGGCATCGTCGTCGGAATCTTCATTGGCAGGCACAGCTTCAGGATCATCGGCGGCGGCGGCGTCAGGATCATCGGCATCGTCAGGATCATCGTCAGGATCGTCATTATTAGCAGGAGCAACATCGTCGACATTAATGTCGTCACTCGCGTCATTGTCACCGGCATCGTTATCGTCGGCATCCTCAGTAGCAGCAGCAGCAGCAGCAGAAACAGTGCCACTAAGGTCATACCCCTGGTCCAGTTACATCCCACCGCTATCATCGTCGTCGTCATCATTGCCATTTCTGCCAGCGCAAACGAGCGATATTGCCGCATCTCCTTTACCCCCCATCGCGCCGTGCAGCAGCAGCAGCAGCAGCAACTTCATGGGTCGCACACTCATCGGCTCAGCGTTTTCCCCTCCCCGACGCAGCAGCAAAGACCTGGACTTGCAGCAGCAGCAGCAGCAGCAGTCAGCGATGCAAGATAACAACGACGACGACGATGACAATGATGATGATGATGAAGACGATCACGATCATCATCAGCATCATCATCAGCATCATCAGCAGCAGCAGCAGTATCCGAGACTGGGTCCCCTCTCTGTGCACCCCCAGCACCCGTTGGGGTTCGCCCCCCTGTGTTTCGCGTATCCGCCTCCGCACACCCGATTCGCCCTTTTCCCAGCGCATCACCCCGGCGGCCCCCTGCTGCACGCAGCAGCGGTAGCCGCAGCCGCGTTGCAGCAGGGCGGGCACCAGCAGCAGCACCAGCAGCAGCAGCATCAGCAGCAGCAAGGTCATCATCAGCTGGCCGGGAGACCCGTGACGCATTACAGCCACGCGGCCGCTTACACTTACGGCTTGTACGCGGCTCTGCTGCAGGCTGAGAAGGGGAAGCAGTGAGCATGGCTGAGTCGCCTCCTCCTCCTCCTCCTTCTCGTCACTCGTCTATCGCTGCTACCGTGGTGTCCGCGTTCACGCGAACTTCACTCGCGGATTCCACCGGACTGACCGCTTCGTCTTCCCCACTCGGGGCTCGATGAACTCCTCGACCAGTGGGGGGGGGGGTCGGCAAACCTGCGGCCCTGGGGCTGCACGTGGCTCTTTAAGGCCCCCAGTGGCGGCTCTTAAAATTGGGGACACAGTCCACTGCGGCTCGTGAAATAGCGAGGAGTCTTTTATTTTTTTTACCGAATTATCTTCTCGTTATCTTGGTTGGCGACCCCTGCTCTTGACTACCAACCATGGCTACTTTATCAGCGCTGTTCCGTCCTTGTAGCTGTGATATATTTTGTGTGTGTGGAGCGGTGGCATAGTCGCGTTCACGAAACGCGCTCCGCTAATATTAACCCCCCCCCCTCCAAGGCAACTCGAGTTCGCATCCCGATCACGGCTAACATCAGTGGCGAATGATATCCGAAGATCGTTCTTGAGTCCACCCCCCAACCCCACTTCCCCAGTCCGGTAACACAACAACTGCCGACCTACGTGGGAATGATTAAAGCAATTAAAACAAACAGAAAAATCTGCAACGTTGCGTTAAAGATAAGTTATGCGTGTGCAGAATAGAAGTCATATAGGGCAAGTCCTCGCTCAACGCGCGCTCACTTTTCAGGGACGCATCTACCGCGTTAAACGAGGACTTGCCGTAAAAAATTATAATAATAATTCCATGTATATAGCGATTTTTTAAAAAATATATCAAGGATCTCAAAACGCTGTACAGGAAGCGTATAGCTAGGTTTCAAGACGCGTATATTTTTTTCATTATTATTTGTGCAACGTGTTTGTCGACCGCTAGCAAACGATCGTTGGAGGAATTCGAATTGAAACTACAACAGAGATGTGCGCGCGTGGCAATCGCTGACGGCCTTCATCCAGCAGTGGATTGACGAAGGCTCTGCTGTGCGTACCGACTTGTGGTGTCGCGTGTACTGATGAGCTCTGCGCTTCTCCATCCCATCGATTCACCACCACCCCCACCCCCCAACCCCTCCCCTCAATACCCCAGCGATTGAATTCATGGTCGCGATGCTAGCGGTCGAGATTCTCATTCAAGAATCGATTCTTCTTCTTTTCCGTCTCCTTTATGCGTCGCCTCGTCGCTGTCTTGGTGACAGCGGACGCCGAGACGAACCGTGTTGTGGGTGGCAGGCCGTAGCTGGGGCACGCCTCGCTGACGAGCGCTAAATGTGACGAGGACTCTTCTGAGAACCCCGCGGTGCTTGTGGATAGTGAAAGGCCAGCGATGAGTGGTGTTGCTGCTTCTGCTGCAATGTGGAACTTCCACCACTGTCGCAAGACCAACAGCACTCTCAAATTGACACAAGTTGATGAATAATCGCGATTCAGAGCCCGCGTTCCTATTCGATAATCGATTCTCTATTGTCTCGTTCGTATTGGATGGACTCCTTTGTATTTGTTCCTTTGTAATGCTTCTCTCTCGCCTGTTGTATTCGCGCGCACGATGGCAGTAGCGATGGGTCCAGGAGGAGCCCCATGCTCAATGTCCAGGTCTGTTGCTGCTCCTGCTGGCATGACGAGAGGGCTTAGGCAGAGTTCGTGTGGCGCTGCTGTTCCTCCTCCTCCGTTGAAGGAGCACAGACCGCAGTGGGGTTATTGTGCGGTCCATGGTGTGGGTGGCATGGCCACATTGCGTCTTGTGTCTTTAATGTATCTCTCTGGGTCTCTATGTATCTCTATGGGTCTCTATGTATCTCTATGGGTCTCTATGTATCTCTAGGTCTCTATGTATCTCTATGGGTCTCTATGTATCTCTGGGTATCTATGTATCTCTCTGGGTCTCTACGTATCTCTATGGTTCTCTATGTATCTCTGGGTCTCTATGTATCTCTATGGGTCTCTCGGTTTATTATATGGGTCTCTATGTATCTCTATGGGTCTCTATGTATCTCTGGGTCTCTATGTATCTCTCTGGGTCTCTATGTATCTCTATGGGTCTCTATGTATCTCTATGGGTCTCTATGTATCTCTGGGTCTCTATGTATCTATGGGTCTCTGGGTTTATTATATGGGTCTCTATGGGTCTCTGGGTTTATTATATGGGTCTCTATGTATCTCTATGGGTCTCTGGGTTTATTATATGGGTCTCTATGTATCTCTATGGGTCTCTATGTATCTCTATGGGTCTCTGGGTTTATTATATGGGTCATAGTTCGGGTTGCGTGGCCACAATCGCACCACGACAGGGGCTCGTGTCTCAAACTGTTCAAACTATAAACTATTTTTTTTATTTACCAAGTAAGGCCCACATAGTTACGTAGTTATTTTTTTAAAGCGACTTGGCCACAAGTGATAGTTCAACAGAGTGGCTACTCATGTGGAAATTTATAGCAGTAAATTAATTTAAATAACCTTAACAGATTGTAAGGGGCAAGTGCCATTTTTGAGTCCGCTTGTCCGGGTGAGGGTCGCGGCAGCAGCAGCAGCGTGTTGAGTCGTGGCGGTCCAGACCTCTCTTTCCTTGGCGACAGACTCCAGCACGACTACACTATACACTACACTATACACTACTACACTATACACTACATTACTACACTACACAACTATACATTACTACACTATACACTACTACACAGTACACTACTATACACTACTATACACTACACTATACACTACTATACACTACACTATACTACTATACACTACTATACACTACACTATACACTACTATAAATTACACTATACACTACTATACACTACTATACACTACACTATACTACTATACACTACTATACACTACACTATACACTACTATAAATTACACTATACACTACTATACACTACTATACACTACACTATACACTACTATAAATTACACTATACACTACTATACACTACTATACACTACACTATACTACTATACACTACTATACACTACACTATACACTACTATAAATTACACTATACACTACTATACACTACTATACACTACACTACTATGCACTACTATACACTAATACACTACACTATACACTACTACACAGTACACTACACTATACACTACTATACACAGACTCCAGCACTACTACACTATACACTAAACTATACACTACACACTACATTACTACACTACACTACTATACACTACTATACACCAATACACTACACTATACACTACTACACAGTACACTACTATACACTACACTATACACTACACTATACACTACACGACTATACACTACTATACACTACACTATACACTACTATACACAGACTCCAGCTCTTCCTGGGGAATTCCCAGGCGTTGCCAGGCCAGCCGAGCGACGTCGTCCCACCCCCAGCAGCAGCAGCGTGTCCTGGGCCGACCCCGGGGTCTTCGCCCAGTGGGACGAAGCCCCCGGTAGAGTTCCAGGGGGAGTCTACCGGGGAGCCATCCTTACCGGGTGCCCGAACCACCTCGACTTGGCTCCTCTCGATCCGGAGGAGCAGCAGCTTGACTGTGAGCCTCTCCCAGACTTGCCGAGCTCCTCACCGGATCGCGGAGAGCGATGAGCCCGGCAACCCTGCGGAGAAACGTCAATTGGGCCACCTGGAACCCGCGATCTCATCATGTCGGTCATTACCCAAAGCTCATGGCCGTAGGTGGGGACCGTAGATCGACCTGTGAAGCGCGAGTTTTGTTCGAGAGCTCAGCTCCCGCTCCACACTCACCGTCGCTCGCGCAAGAGACCCCGGGGGTAGTTGAACTCCTCCGCTAAAGGCGGCTGGACCACGCTTCGCCCTCGCCTGGAGAGAACACGCCGCCGTCTCCGCGGAGTGAACCGTGACCTCGGATTTGGAGGTTTCTGATTCTCACCCCTGCCGCTGCACACTCGGGCTGAACGGTTTGGGGGAAATCTGCGATTGAGATTTTTCTGACAGATATTGCGATTGCGATTTGATTTGCGATTAAATTTTTTAAGTCAAGCTTCAGTTCAATATTCACTGTGTAATAGATTTAAAACACGTGATGGAGCATTACCGCATGGTACCATCAAAATATGAACTGCTCTATGTATTCTAATGCAAGGATGAGAACTTAACAGATATGAATTGCTTCCAACATGTATTTATTAAAATGTTTTCATTGAGATAGAACAATCAAACATAGAAAAATTGTTAAGTTAAATAAATAAAATCTTGATTTGAAGCTTTCGTGACTGCAGGAATCCATAACTCTTTGGTACCTTCGGTACAGTCACGTGGGTAGAAAATAAATAAAGTGATAATAATACAAAAAAACAATTCCAATTAAAAAATGATTGATGTGGTTTTCCCACCTGATGATGATTGCTTGTGTTGCAATCGAAACATCGTGATTTATTTTATTTTATACCTACGTGACTTTACCGAAATAACCAAAGAGTATGAAAGTAATAGGACTTGTCAAATCGCAAAAAAATCGCAGCCTTTGCGATTCGCTAATCGCATTGTTTCAAATTTCGATCTGAAATCGATTAATCGTTCAGCCCTAGGGTTCACACTCGGCATCAAACCGTTCAAGTGCACGCTGGAGATCACGGATTGACGAGGCGAAGAGGGCGACAGTCATCTGCAAAAAATCAGCGACGCCACCATCCATTCCCCCGTAACCGGAGATGCTCTCTATGCCTCGGCTGCGCCTCGATGTCCTGTGCGTGGAAATCACGAACAGGAGAAGAGGCGAGTCGCACCCTTGGCTGAGTCCAACGGTGCGTCTCGCGGGAATGTGTCAGCCAAACACTCGAAACGCGTGACGCTTCTCAATGTGGATGGGAAATGAAGGGGGACCTGGAGAAAAATCCACACGCCCACGGAGAGAGAGAGACACGCACACTCCAAATATACAGCAGCAGGCGTTGTCAGGGTCGGGATCGAACCTACGACCTCCTGCATACCAGGCGAGGTAGTTAACATCTCCT